TTTGCACCTGTCATTTTTCCCACAGGAAAAAATCAGCAACTCCATGTGCCCCCGCAGCACTATGTGGAGACCTCCTTTACAACACGTGCTGCAGTCATCTTAGGAATTCATCTTCTGCACACTGGCTACCAGCTGCTTGAGAAGAACCATGTTGTATGCGTGTATTATTTTTATTTCCGTAGCATAAAATATAATAATAATTGCGATAGAAAACATTTACTGGTCTTCTACTGTATGATGCACAGTTCAAGGCAGGTTCCATGCATTGTAACATTTAATTCTTGAAGCCAACATGTTATTGGGCTCCATCATCACCTTCCGTTAAGATGCGGAACTGCAGCACAGAGCAAGCGAAGCCGCGGCAGTGCGTGACTGCAGAGGCAGCGGCTCTCCGGGCTGCGCAGTGCACAGCTTGTGCAGTCACCGTGGCCTCTCAGCCGTGGCTTGTAGAATAAACTTAAATGTTCCATTTGACATTAGGCTTTTAGCAGACATGCTTGCAATTTTAAAGAATATTTTTACAGGTCTTGATACCTTACACCAAAAAAACATGTTAGGAACAAAAAGGGCCATCTGCTTGGAGTCCTTCAAAACGTACTGTCTAGACAAGCATTTATTCTGACAGAAAAGGGTCATTAAAATTGGTCTGATGACCATGCGGTCTAATGACAAAACTAAAGGAGAAAATAGGACAGGCTGAGGTCTTGCGAAAGACAGTCTAGAAAACAGCACAATGTCGTCCCTGTCACTCTGCTCTTCTAGCCCCTAACAAAGCCCCGGTCCAAGCCCCAGTCACAGGAAGAATCGAGTAAGAAAAAGTCTTTTTTTGCTAGAGACATATATAATGCTCATTGGCCATGTGAAGCTTCGCTGAAACAATAAAATCTTGTATGTTTTCATTTTCCAAAAGCAATCGCATATTAGGATTTAACAAATAATACTTGTTCAATAAAATATAATTAAATTAAAATATAACATGTAAAAAATAAAAATATAACATCATTTCATGGCATTTGTCTAAATTAATATTTTGTCCATGACCTTAGAATCAAATTATTAGAATCATCCTGAAAGAAGTTATCAAATTCTGCGTGTTTTTATTTTTATTTACTTTTATCCTCACCAGAGGACATTTTCTCATTGCTCTTAGGAAGGGAGGGGAAAAGGAACTGAAGAGAAACAGCAATAGGAGAGAGAAGCATCAGCCGGTTGCCTTCTGTATGCACCAGGATTGGGGATCGAACCTGCAACTTAGATACGCGCCCTTACTGGGAATCAAACCTGCAACCCTTCAATCACAGGACGACACTCCAACCAACTGAGCCACGGAAGCCGGGCTACATTTCTCTTTTTTTCAAAGGGCTTCAGGGGAATATGTGTATCATCTTACATGTAAATTACTTTTATCACACCTGACTTCATGGTGAATGGAAGAGAAGGTCACTGTAGCAGTAAGAGGTTTGAATGCAGAGGGAGGAAATAGCCCGTGAAGAATTACTAAGAAAATGAGTCGATTTGAATTATGGTTGAACTTACCGAATAATATTCAATAATAATATCATATCCAAGGTCATATTCTAGCTTCATCGCTAATGAACCATTTTAACACAAATGCAGCTCAGCTCATGAACAGTGATCAACACTGAGCTTCGCTGACCACAGAGCATCATCACAAAGGATGTCATTAGGTGCATCTGAGCAGATTTTTAAAGAGATGTGCTTTTTCTGAGTGTTTATAGCACCTATGAGTCTCTAGGATGGGCATCTTTTCAAATAGTGTTTCAAGGGTATATACGGAATAATCCTGGACTTAGGGAGACACCTACAGGTAAAATAGAAAACAGTAAAAGAAGAATCTGAGAATGAGAAAAACTTAGCATTACGTTTAATCAGGAAAATCAAAATAATTTTTCTTCAAAATTATTTTTAAATGCTCAGAGCATTTTTCACAATGTAAACACAAATTAGACAATACTTTAATAATAAACATGTAGATATAATTATATAGATTTTTACAATTTTATGTCACCTTTAGTCTACTTGAAAAATCATGCTTTGTATAATGGCCTAAAGGATGGCCCATTATTCTTTTTAAAAGAGGCAGAAATGCCCTGAATGGTATGGTTCAGTGTACTGAATACCAGCCTGCGAACCAAGGGGTTGCTGGTTCAATTCCCAGTCAGGGCATATGCCTGAGTTGTGGGCCTAAATTGTGGGCCAGGTCCCCAACTGGGGGCGTGTGAGAGGCAACTGGTTGATGTGTCTCTAGCACATCAATGTTTCTCTCCCTCTTTCTCCCTCCCTTCCCCTCTCTCTAAAAATAAAATCTTTTTTTAAAGAGGCAGAATTAACCCATTAGTAGAAATAATATTAGATCCTTTATTTTTTTAAAAAAAGTCTTCCTGAGTAGTGTGAAGTGGGTAGGAATGTAAAGGCTCTAGAGGGTGATGGGAACACAGGGCACGATCGGGTCTGTGGACAGAGCTAGAGTTCTTTACCCTTCCTCTCTCCTCTCCATCACATGCGCCCCCCTCCCTGAAGTGGAAATCAGGAGACTTCATTACTGTATCTCTCCTTCTTCCACGTACATTTTGCTCAGGAAGGGTTCTTCATCAAACTTCTCCACTTCCTATACCACTATTATATTTGCATAACACTTACATTTCCAATAAGCTTCAGGGAAAGGATTTTGATGTCTTCAGAGAACCCTAAACATATCATTCCAGTGTACTTCCAAAGCCAGAAAAGTTTCCAAAGCTCTAGTATTGTCAAAAGGTCATTGGAAAACAAATCTCGTAACTCGAACTTTTCCTGCTTTTGACTTTATTCCTATGTATCCAGTCATAAAATCACTGCACATCCAAAAAGGTCCACAGGCTGGTGCTGCCACCGAGGCGAAGAGAGCCAGGAGCCTCGCTGCCTTCCTCAGGGTGTCTGGGCCGAGGAGCCAGTGCCGGTCACGTCCTTCACCACTGGGGCCTCACTATAGTTCTGCCCCCCTTTCAGTTCCCACACCAAGTACGCCACCGTGATCAACCAGGTCACACCCTACAACTACCCCGTGCCCATCCCAGAAGATGGGGACACGCCTGACTTGCCCAGCCACCCCCAGGACTCCCAGGGTCCAAGCTTGGAGTGGCTGAGAAAACTGAACACCTCCACTGACTGGGAGGAGGTCCCCTCCCCAGTGCCCTCAATAGAAATGTGAACACAGGAAAGAAAAGAAAAGCCCACAAAAGAACAACCAAAACAGGCAAGGGAACATAGCAGATTCCGCACAGCAAATACCTAACAATCAAGAGCCCTTTTTCTGCTAAACGTTAAATCTGGATTCTGTCAATTCAATCTTCCAAAATAAGATCATAATCTTTCCATCTTAGCCATCTCCGGGCAGCACCTAAGCAGATAAGTGTAATATTATACTTAGAATTTCTCTATTGCATTACTGGAAGTCTCGTAACTCATCTTCAGTCTTGCCCCCATTAAAAGGCATCTTTCCCATGACTACTGTGCTAAAAACACAAATCTTACCAGATTATTTCTGTGGTTAAAACCTTTATATGATTCTCTGTCTGTATCTACAGGATAAAGTCCAAATCCCTTAACTGTACAAGCCTCTCTATGTGATCTGGCCAATCTACCTTCCCAACTTTATGCCTTACCATTCATTCTTTTTAAATAATAACAGTAATAATAACAATAATAATATTAGCAATTAATACTTAGAAAACATGTAGCATGTCAAGACTGTCCTAAATACTATTGTGGTCAAATATATGTAACACTTACCTTATTAACCATTTTTAAGGGAACAGTTCTGTGCTATAAGCACACTTCCATTGCTGTACAGCCGTTACCACCATCCATCCATCTCGGAGCTTCTCTCTTTGCCAGCCGAATCTCCACACCCACTGAACACTAATTCCTCATTCCTTCCTCTCCCCAGGCCCTGACAGCCACCGTCCTACTTTCTGTCTCTATAAATGTGACTATTTTAGGTACCTCGTGTAACTGAAATCAAATTTGTCCTTTTGTGACTGGCTTATTTCACTTGAATGTCTTCAAGGTTCATCTATGATGTTGTTGCAAGTGCCAAATAAGGAAGAATTCCCTTCCTTAGTAAGACTGAATAGTAGTATTCATATTTTAAGTATATACATTTTATTTACCCATTCATCTGTCTGTAGACCCTATGCTGCTATGGAAATAGATGTACAAATATCTGTTTAAGTCCCTGCTTTCAATTCTTTTGGATAGATACCCCAAAGTGGACTTGCTGGACCATTTGGTAATTGTTTGGGGTTTTGTTGCTGTTTTTTTAAAATCTTATCATCTCCCACAGCAGCAGCAGAGTACATTCTCACCAGCAGTGTACAAGGGCTCTGTGGTGGGTCATTTTGTGTGTCCACCTGAGTGGTCACAGGGTATGTACACTAAGTACCGTTTCTGGATGCAACCAGCACTTGAATTAGTGGACTCAGTGCAGTAGACTGCCAACCCCAGTGGGGCCAGGCACGATCCAATCTGTTGAGGGCCTGAACAGAACAAAGGCAGAGGAAGGAGGAACTCACCCCCTTTTTTCCAGCCTCACTGGGATGTATAACACAGTCTCCTTTTGTTCTCAGGCCTTCAGACTTAGACTGAGTTCTATCACTGACTGTCACAGATACATACACCGGAGCCCTCCTACACTCCCAACTTACACCGTCACTCTGGGGGAAGCCATAGTCACAACCAAATCACTTTCAGCTTAGGGACTATTCAGAGGTGTCCACTCTCCAAGATGTGGAGCCAAGCCCAGCATTAACAAGGTCACACATCCATGCCCAGGAAGAAGGCAGTCAGACCAGAAAAAGTATCCTGCTGTCTCCCTCCTGTTCCAACTTTTGGGTCCGACTTAATACTCCTACCAGAGTAATCCTGATAGAATTTGGCTGAAAACCATAACCACACATATTTCTCTACATTAACACCTCCCCATTTTTTCCAAGACAGATGTAATTATTTTATTCATATATGGACTTTACTTTCTGGTGCTCGAGTCAATATAATGCTAAATTGAAAATGGGATTACACAGATTTTTTTAAGGTGTACTTTAATTCTTAAAATAGAAAGTAGATTTACAAGCAGTATTTCAGAAAAATCATGTTCTTGAAAATACCTTTGCCTATAGTTTCTGATAAAGTATTGAGCATGTGTTATTGCGCTTTTGAGGAAATATTTTTTTAATTTTAACATGAAGACTTCTTATTTCAGTTTTTAACAATACATGATAACAATCTTTCTGAGTGAAGCTGTACTCACACACTTATAGCATGACAACATCTTATAAGTCGGGTATTTTAACATAAAGCTTTCAGGAAAGCATGTATCAGGCACTGGATTAAACTGAAAATATCTTCTTTGATCACCACTGAAAGAATATTTTAGGGAAAAGCTAAAACAAAAACAGGATGTTACATCGCTTGCTGCTTCTTTTCCAAACACTTCTCAATATCATCAAGTACTTGAACAGCAGCCTTTGGAATTCGAGTCCCAGGACCAAACACATTGGAAACACCAACTTCAAACAGAAATTCATAATCCTGTTGAAAGAATCAGTTTAATTAATAGAAACAATACTATTTTTAATTTCAAGAAAATGAAACAAAAGTACAATATTTGCTTCTCTTTCTTCTTCATCCCCAATGCCCCAAACTTTCTCAACTGGTACACTATTGGCATTTGCACTGAAAAATTCTTCCTTGACTGAAACTGCTAAGAGCCTTACACTCTGAGCCATTACAAGAACAAAACACGTTCTGCCCATTTTCCAAACACCCCAAGTGTGTTGTTTGTGGTGAGAGCTGTATGCCTCACAGCTTGAGAACATCTGAGCCCTAAACCAAAATTGTCTCTCATCTAAATTCTCCCTATGTATCATTATTTGTGTTAAACTTAGGATATTATAGCTTTGAGTTTACAAGGCCATTTACTTTCTCCAAGGTGTTTTATCTGCATCTAGTGAACAGTCATACTTTGAATTTGGCTTCATGATGGAGTTAGATTTTTCATAAATGAAGATTAGCTCATTTTAAAAAAAATTCTCTGTTGTTGATGCTGCTGTTTATTACTTTATTTTCAACTTAGTCCAAGCTTGAGTGAAAATATTCCCAGGACACAAATACACATCCAGGCTTTAGGCTGTTTCAATGTTGGAATATTTATAGCTATGATAGCTAGTTTAGGACATGCTCTAAAGCCCTGACCCTCAATCACTAGCCAGTTATACATGCCGGGACATTCTCGTTTGTGCTTACTGTTGCAGCAGCTTTTTTCTTTTCTCATGAGCTTTTTCTTTTATTGAGGTATAAGTGACATATAACATTATCTCAGTTTCAGGTACATAAATAAGGATATTTGTATATACTATAAAATGATCACCATAGTGTGTCCAGCTAACATCCATCACTATACAGAGTTAGAGAATCATGTGTGTTAAGAACTTTTAAGATTCATTCTCTCTTAGCACCCTCTTAGTAACGAATATGCAATACAGTATATTATTAGCCATAGTTGCCACGCCACACACTATATCTCCATATATAACCACACTTATTTATCCATTTATTTATTCTGACTTATTTAGTTTATAACTGGAAGCTTCTTATACTTTTTGACTCCCTTCACCCATTTCACCCACCCTCCACCTCTGGCAATCACCAGTCTGTTCTTCCACATATAAGTAAGATCATATTGTATTTGTCTTTCTCTGTCTGAGTTATTTCACTTAGCAGAATACCCTCGAGTGTTGTCACAAATAGCAGATTTCACTGTTTTTATGGCTGAATAATATTCCATTAGGTGTGTGTACCCCATTTTCATGGAGGTGCATGTTCTCATTTTCTTCAGATAAATGCCCAGAAGTGGAATCACTGGATCATATGGTCGTCCTGTTTTTTATTATTTTTGAACATCCACACTGATTCCACAGTGGCTGTACCAATATATATTCCCACCAAAGTGTACAAGGTTCCCTTTTCTCCACATCCTTGCCAACACCTGTTATTTCTTGTTTTTCACAACAGCCATTCTAACATGTGTGGGGTGGTTTCAATTTGCATTTAATTGATGATTAGTGATGTTGAGTGTCTTTTCAGGTACCTGTTGGCCATTTGTATGTTTTCTTTGGAAATATGTCTATTCAGACACTCTAACCATTTTTTATTCACTTTTGGTTTTTGCAGTGCCCTTTTTAATAGCACCCATTTTTATTCTGAAAAGTGATCATATTTGGGTGATAAATTACATCATAATGCTATTTATCCCCCAACTATTTATTTTCTATTTCTATTATTTCCTTATAATATTCTCATGATATAATAATTCTGCAATGGCACTTAACACATCTTACTGAACTTTTCTCCTTCTAGTCTATCTTCTAAGGACAGAGATAATGTCTACTCATCTTTATATCCTCAGCATATGGCATGTAAGGGCACTTGAAATATGTCCTTGTTCTTGGGCAGATGCTATAGATTTAAAAGTTCCTAAGAAAAATTGATAAAACATGTAATAATAATTACCTCCAAATTGGGGATGATCAAATTGATATGTTATCTTCTTCTTTTTTCCTAATAATGCTGTGTACCATTTGTTCTGACATCTGAGTTGTGGATTCGAGGTGGAAGACTCAACTAGGTGAGGCCTGTGACACGCTGCAACTGCAGAAAGGGTCCTTGGCTTATCCTAGCCTGACATAAGCCTTGTCAAAGGTATTTTGATAAGAGCATAAAATGTGAGAAACAAGGGAATCTGTGTAAAGGGTATGCCGGTGTTCTCTGTACCATCTGCATTTTGTACCTCATCTACTAGTTTAAAATTATTTCTAAATAAAAGGTCACTGTGGTACAATGTCCTCCAGTGAGCTGGGCCAGGCCTGTCACACCGCCTGCCTAATGATGGAAGTAGGCACCGTGAGGCTGCTAACCTTGCCTGAAATACAATACTTGGATGCTGCTGGCATTTAAAGGGTTAGAAGGTCCTGATGGTAGTTACACATGCTAGTGAGGGCAAACCACACTGATTCAATCAGGCTGCAGAAACTACAAGCTCCACAACGGCAGTGGCTGAATCTGTTTGACTAACTACCATATATTAGTGCTATCTAATTTAAAATCTAAGTGTCTTTCAGTCAAATAATATTTTATATATTTATACTGCCGACAAATAACAAGACAAATGCATGGATGTTGACTGCTATAATTATATTATAAAGGATAGCCATATTAACACTCAAGTGTGTCAACACAGAAAATGATCCTTAGGTTTCAAACTCATGGGGAAAAAAAGCACAGTAAACACCTACAGATGTTCTAAGTGATTCAAATATCCAGAGAGTTAATATAATTTGTGTGAAATATATTTCTTGAAAATGGCAGCTTACTCATATAACAGGCCTGTTTTATTCTCAACTCATATTTCAATTCCATTATTTTGTGCTGCCTAATTATTTTGGTTCTTAAATTTTAATATCATGCCCAAGAGCTTAGATATTATAGTCTCTAAAACTGCAATATAGATAGAAGTATTCCACTGATAGAGAGCAATAAAGAATAAAAGCCCTTCATATTCCCAAGCAGTAAACTATATTTATGAAAAAAAAATAGGCAAGCATACCCCAAAATAGGTACGCTAACAAAAGCAATTTCATGTTGACTATATCACCTATAAGTACTGTGTTGCTAGAAAGGTCAAATAATATGGTTTGTTTACTACCCCCACATTAGTACCAATCTCATAACCTCACACATATGTATTTTCTCATTTCATAAGTATGTAAGGTCACTATTTTATATTCTGAGTTGTAATGGAGAAAAAAAACTGTAAACCTGAACAAAAAATCCCATTTCAACGATAGATTCCTGCTATAGTGATGGGGCCTTTGTAGCATTTATAAGTCACTTACTTCCCTGGCAGGGCAGCTCAGTTAGTTAGAGCATCATCCTGATACACCAAGGTTGCAGCTTTAATTCCCAGTCAGGGCACATACAGGAATCAACCAATGAATGCAGGGGATAGGCGAAACAACAGATCAATGACTTTCTCTCTCTCTCAAAATCAATAAGTAACTTAAAAAATTTAGTTGCAGCAATCTCATATATAGTTTTTCTATCTTAATATTTTTCCCATTCTCGGTTTAAAAAAAAAAAAAGAACTTGATAATTAAAAACTGGATTATAAACAGACCCAATTTATGTCTTAACTAATTATTTTACTGATAGGTAAGGTAATATGGAAGGTAACCCACCACCTCACTAGTAAATTAACTGACATACTGATTATTACCAAGCATCTAATTCTCCTTTCCTACCCGCTCCATATTTTTGTTCAAGAGAATTCATCTCTTCCCCATTCAGCCAAAAATTTTCAGGACAGGCTGATTGATTCCCTTTATATAGGAAATATTATATTTTGGCCTCAAAATTGTACCCCAAGCAAATCAGCTTTAGTAAAAACAGGGTTTTAACAGACCATGTTACTGCTACAGCTCTGACTTAGGGCTACATTTAGGGATGGGAACACGGAGGAAGTGGACAGGTGGCTACTCTAAAACAACATAAGCAAATGCTGCTGACTAGCTAACTTACAGCTTACTATATCTCTGGTTAATATATGCACAGTGTCTTTAGGATTCTTCTCTATCCTAGCTGTGAGATTTTATTACTTTATCCTGTTTACTGAATATAAAGAAAGTAGATCTCGATTTGGGTTACTAGTTTACAAGGAGATAATTCTACACAGAAGCTCTGTAAATTGTTAAATTATACATAATGAGTTATACACAGCTGGAATAGAAAACACCACTGCCCCCTTTTGGACTTTGTAGAACTTAGTAAAATCACCAGAAAATAATTTAGCTCAAAATCTACAACAAATTTCTCTTCAGGAAAGGTGTACAATAAATGAAAGAACTACATACAAGCTATTGTTACTCAGGATTCCCATCATAATGCCAGAAAAATAGAGGAGTTGAAAATACCTGTGGTGGTATCACCCCTCCACACATAACAAGAATATCTGGCCGTCCAAGGGCGGTTAGTTGTTTGATGAGCTCGGGAACAAGGGTTCTGTGACCAGCAGCGAGTGTGCTCACGCCCACAGCGTGCACATCTGCGTCCACAGCCTGCTGGGCCACTTCAAGGGGAGTCTAAACAATTAGAAAGTAGAGACAAATCATCATTTGTGGGGGCGGCTTTCCTCAAAAGTCCCCCTGTGTGCCACGGATGAGAGTAACCATGACAGAGATATGATGTGATCTGCTTGGGGAGGAGAGGTGGCCATTTTCCCAGAGGAAAAAGGCCTTGAGCAATGGCCAGTTTCTCAGGGGAAAAAGACCTTAAGCCCCTTCCTCCAAAGGCTTTTATTGGGTTGTAATACACAGAAATACAGGGCAGCAAGGATCAAACAGTAGATTACATTTCAAAGAAATCTGAGGGCTTAGTCTGAGTCAGAGTCTGTCAGGAAGAGAGTTTTAGAGTTTCCTGCTCGAACCCTTAACATATGAATGAAAGCACTCTTAGCAGAGCAGGTTTCACAGGTTTTTCAGGAAGTCTTTGTAGTGCCAGATTTTTCCCCAGGACTTCCTCTAGCAAGGCAAGGAGCTGCACCCCTCCCTATCAGGCATTCAGGCTTAAGGAGATTAGAACCAGGAAGCGCTTCTCCCAGAGGACAAGGGGACTTGGGCTTTGACAGAGCCCATTACTCTTTGTTGCAGCCCCCGAGTCCTTCCATGATGGCCTCCCAAGTGATGGTGTCTGGCCTAGGTTGCCCCTCCTCTGAGGGGTCTTACTTGTCAAGGACTTTCGACCAAGCTTTGGGGGCAGGGAGAAAACTGAGGCAGCATTTGCTACCAGACACAAGCTTTGTCTCCTGCGGCTCGCATTCCAGAGGTCACTCGTTCATCCTTAAACCACAGGGGGTAGAGAGTTACAATTCCTAGAACCAGGCAGAGGGGTCCACAACAATCATTTATTTCAAAAAGTGTTTTAAGTGTTATCTACTTAATCTATATTCCAAGATTTTACTCATTAAAAATGTTGAATATAATTTCATATTTCATTATTCTCAAATTATAAATACTAACTCAGCCAACTGATGCAATAAACACCATTGCCATAATTGCTTCTACTGTTAAAATATATCAGATTCAAGTTACACTAAAATATATTATCTCTTCACTGTAACTCTTTAAAAAACATATCTGGTGTCTTGATTATCAATATGTATTTAGTTGTGAAGTACAAGGCAACCAGCTATAGTATCTATGAGGAAGTGGAAAACTAAATATAAAATGCAATGTTAAAAGTGAGTCTTAGATTTTCAAACAGAATGGGAAAGAGTGAAGCTCCAGGACCTGCTTCCCCCATGGAGACAGCAAATTAACAGTAGTATGTGGACCAAAATAATGTTATAAGAACTCCAGTTTTAACCAGTTTAGGACACAAGAATCTTAAAGGACATTTTCAAGTACTCATTTATTAAATCAGTTACCCAAGATCATATCCACTCTCTGTAATGAGTCTGTGACACTGCTTTCATAATTTACATGTATTAAACCTTTTCATATAAAAGATACCTACAAGTTTCTCATTGCAAATATAATGTAAATTGAGAAATTTGAGAAGGATAAGGCCATCTCAGAAACTACAGCACAATTAGTGCAAAAAAATATCAAAAACTGTGAATTTTCAAAGTTTGGCAATATTTTAAGGCTTATAAATTTAATGTGGAAACAAAAGATTCTACACCCTCAGTAACGGAGCCACATCCAAAAAGATCTCTAGGTTAGTCGCACAGCACATAGATCAAATTTTCAATCTGTGAAAATATGTTAACATACAAAACTAAAACCTTCAAAGAAAATGTACATACTATAGCCACTGATCTCTGAAAGATAAGAAATTGATTTAAGCATGATTTGTCATTCACATTGTCCATGCCGCCTAATTTATGAGATTAAAAAATTCCATTTAAACAATTCCATGCTTTATGCTCATATAAATTAAACTGTACTCTGCATTATCAAATGTTGAAAATTTTAAAATTTCACACCTAATTTTGATTAAATCAGTCATCACAGGACTGCAGAATAGTACCTTTACCACAGATAATTTTTTAAATGACACACATTATTTATGTTAACAAAATAGGTGGTACAAACTTCCGGCCAAGATAGAGGCATAGGTGGAAACACTGCCTCCTCGCACAACCAAGTTTAAAAACAACAAAGTTTTAGTAACAAAAACGCAACCAAAACACAGAAAATTGAACTGTGCAGAAGTCCCACAACAATGAACCATTCAGCCAGACCAATAAGAGGGCTGGAGTCAGCGGCTGGTGGAGTGGGGTCAGGAAGGAAAAAGCAGCCAGACTGACCCAGGAGCACAGGCGGCGGTTGGCAGATCCCAGGCGTGGGGTGGCAACGGGCGGACCCAGTGAGGGTGCAAAGCAGCTGGCTGACCAGGGTCACATATTCGTGCACAGATAAACCAAGCAAAGAAGCAAGCAGTAAGACAGACCATGCAAACTAGGGCCCCAGCGATGGGAATTAGAGCCTAAAAGCACCAACTGGAGAAACTTTCTGGGTTGAGGTGCCGGGAGAAGCTCCAAGGCTCACAGAGAGTTTCTTGGAGAGACCCACAGGGTTCTGGAGGGTGCAGAGGCCGACACACCCAGGAGCTGGCACCAGGGGGACCCGGTTTGCTTGCAGGAAGCAGCAGAAGGGACCGAAATCTGAGAGAGAGAGGAACAAACACTATTGCCCCTCTCTGACCCCACCCCCACATACAGCATCACAACCCAGCAACTGGGTTGCCCCACCCTGGCGAATATCTAAGGTTCCGCCCCTCATACATAACAGGTGCAAACAGACCAAAACATTATGGCTCAAGAAGAACAGATCAAAGCCCCAGAGCCAATACTTCTAAGCAACCAAGAGATAGCCAACCTATCAGATGAACAGTTCAAAACACTGGTGATCAGCATGCTCACAGTACTGGTTGATTTTAGTCACAAATTAAAGGAACAAATGAAGGCTAAACTAAGTGAAATGAAGGGAAATGCACAGGAAACCAATAGTAATGGAAAGGAAACTGGGAATGAAATCAATTGAGTGGACCAGAAGGAAGAAAAAAGATGGCCAAACACAAAACAATGAAGAAACAAGAATTCAAAAAAATGAGGAGAGGCTTAGGAACCTCCAGGACATCTTTAAACGTTCCAACATTCGAATTATAGGGGTACCAGAAGGGGAAGAGTCACGAGTGGAAGCCTTATCTGAACAAATAATAAAAGAGAGCTGCCCCATTCTGGCAGAGGAAATAGACTTCCAGGAAATCCAGGAAGCTCAGAGAGTCCCAAAGAAGTAAGTTGGACCCAAGAAGGAACACACCAAGGCACATCATAATTACATTAGCCAAGATTAAAATGAAGGAGAGAATCCTAGAAGCAGCAGGAGATAAGGGGACAGTCACCTACAAAGGAGTTCCCATCACTGTCAGCGGATTTCTCAAAAGAGACCCTACAGTCAAGAAGGGGCTGAAAAGAAGGATTCCAAGTCATGAAATCCAAAGACCTACACCTTACATTGCTCTATCCAGCAAAACTTTCATTTAGAATGGAAGGGCAGAGAAAGTGCTTCTCAGATAAGATCAAGTTCAAGGAGTTTATCATCACCAAGCCCTTATTATATGAAATGTTAAAGGGACTTACCTAAGAAAAAGAAGATAAAAAAGATGAATAGTGAAAGGACAGCAAACTCAGTTATTAACAGCCACACCTAAAACAAAAGCAAACTAAGTGGACAGCTAGTTCAGGAGCAGAACCATAGAAACGGAGATCACATGGAGGGTTAGCAACAGGGGAGTGGGAGGAGGAGAAGGGGGAGAAGGTACAGAGACTAAGTAGCATAGACGGTAGGGAGAAAATAGACAGGGGGAAGGGCAAGAATAGTAGGAAAATATAGAATCCAAAGAACTTGTGACACATGGACATAAACTAAAGGGGGGAAATGGTGGGAGAGGGGGTGTACAGGGTGGAGGGGAATGAAGGGGGGAAATGGAACAACTGTAATGGCATAATCGATAAAACATATTAAAAAGAAAAGAACCCCCCCAAAAAATAGGTGGTACAAAGGCCAATTATATTTTTATAGAAGGGATTATAATTGGAAATAAACATACAGTTCTTTGAAAAATTCTTCTAGGTGCCAAAGGCTGAAGAAAATTTTTAAAAATTACTTTTATTTAATGAAAATAGACACCAACTTACACCATATACAAAAATTAACTCAAGATGTATAAAAGATATAAATATAAGTTATAACACCATAAAAGTCCTAGAGGATAATGTAGGCAGGAAAATTTCAGGTATGTCATGCAGCAATATTTTCACTGTTACGTCCCCTGGAGTAAGGGACATAAAGGAAAGAATAAACAAATGGCACTACATCAAATTAAAAAGCTTCTTCATGGCTAAATAAAACATTAGCAAAATGAAACGGGAACCAACCAAATGGGAAAATATATTTGCCAATGATACCCCAGACAAGGGTTTGATCTCCAAAAGATACAAAGAACTCACAAGACTCCTTCCACTCCAGGAAGACAAACAATCCAATTTAAAAAGTGGGCAAAGGACCTGAACAGACACTTCTCCAAGGAGGACACACAGAGGGCCCAGAGACACATGAAAGGATGCTCAGCATCACTAGCCATCAAAGAGATGCAAATTAAAACCACAATGAGATACCACTTCACACCAGTCAGAATGGCCATCATTAACAAATCAACGAACAAGAAGTGTTGGAGAGGATGTGGAGAAAAGGGAACCCTAGTTCATTGTTGTTGGGAATGCAGACAGATGCAGCATCTATGGAAAACAGTATCAAATTTCCTCAGAAAACTAAAAATGGAACTGCCATTTGACCCAGCAATTCTACTGCTGGGATTGTAGCCTATGAATCCTGAAACACCAATTCAAAAGAACCTATGTACCCCAATGTTCATAGCAGCATTATTTATAATAGCCAAGTTCTGGAAACAGCTTAAGTGCCCATCAGTAAAAGAGTGGATCAAAAACTTGTGGCACATTTATACAATGGGATACTATGCAGCAGAAAAAAGGAACTCCTACCCTTCGAGACAGCATGGATGGAACTGGAAAGCATTATGCTACATGAAATAAGCCAGATGGTGAAACACAAATACCATATGATATCCCCTATAAGTGGAACCTAATCAACAAAACAAAGAAGCAGGCAAAAACAGAATCACAGACATGGATATGAACAAACTAACAGTGACAAGAGGGGAGGTGGGAGAGAGATAACAAGGAAAGAAGGGGAAAGGTCAAGCCAAGGGCCATGTATGAAGGACCCATAGACAGGGACAAATTGGGGGGAGGATTGAAGGAGGGGGACAGGGCAGGCAGGGGAAAGCTATGGGGGAAAAATGGGGACAACTGTAATTGAACAACAATAAATGTTTTAATAAAAAAATAAAAATAAATGACACTTTTTAACATAAAAAAATAAATAAAATAAAATTACTTTTATTTAAAGCAATATTTCCTAAAAGCTAACTACTAGATATTGGAAATGTTCTATATTTGTTCCCTATTAAAAAAAAAACAAAAAACTAAAGTAAAATGGTAGTGGAACATAATTTTAAAAATACAAAAGTATTCACCTTAAAGAAAGCAAGGCTAAATATATATAAAAATATATAAAATCTAAAATATATTTGAGATTCTTAATAAAACCAACCTTAAAGGTTTAAGACTCTAAACACATTTATAGATTTACCATCACAGTAGAAGGACATTATCTCCAGAAATTTGGGCTCTTTATAGTAACTCTCTAAATTAATATTTAGAAATTCAAAAAGGGAAAACTCATATGGGAGATTCTACAAAGAGTGGACCTCTTCAAAGGTTTACTTCATTATTGGTAAAAATTCAGTGAGTACTCTTAGTCTCATCTAAGGTGTCGTAGCTACATTATGTAACAGTAGTACTTCCCTCTCCTTGAAAAGCTGCTTTTTCAGTTTTTATCCTACTACTCGTCCCATTTCCTTTCACTCCTTTGCTGCTCCCTTATCTTCTGTGTCCCTTTAATGTTCAAGTTTTCTCATATTGCTACATATAATCTGCATGGAAAATTACATCCATGTTCATGATTTTAAAGGACATTCATATAGTGATAAATCTCAAAATCTTGTCTATAATTGAGGCCTCTCTGCTATGCTCCAGACACGTATATCCAACTTACCAGTCATCTTCATGTGAATGGTCTTCAGCTGGTTCTCTTAAGCCAGGCTGCCTGCCTGGCTGTCTGTAAATAGACCCTTCATTAAATTTTCTTCAAAATCGCAGCTGACTTTTGGTTTGTGCAAAGACACTGATACTTCCTTGGTTAAGACCTGTACTGTTCCTCACTCAGATTACTGAACATCTCACTGGATTTCCTGCATCTAGTCACAGCTCCTCTCAATCCATTTCAGGAACTGATTTTACTACAAGTCAGCTTTCTCAAGTATACAGCTGATTGTGACACTCTACCCAAACGCATTTGGGATAAAGTTCAAACTACTGAGAATGGCATACAAGGGCATTCATCATCATCTACACACCATCCCAAGCACTGTATTCTACTTTGACTGAACCTCTTACAGTTACCTGAAGGCATCATACTCTGCACCTCTGCTCAAGCCAACCCTTCTTAGCATGTCCTTCCCTGATTTGTTCTCCAGGCTTCTGACAGGCACAGTTCAAACATAAGGTCCTGAGATTCTTGGACAAGTTCCTTGCCCCAACTTTATTACAGCAATTATTACTATGCTGTGATTGTTGGTAAGTGAGTCTCTGTTACAAGCCTGTAACCTCCCTGAAGACAAAAAAAAAAATGTAGCTTATAGAACTCAGAACCTAGCACCTGACATGATCGATAAATATGTGGTAGATAAAGCTTTTAATATAAGTTATTACAATTTATCCTTCAACCAAAGATTTTTTTTGGAGTAAACAATTAATGTCTCATCACCCTACAAAGAATTTCAGCTTCATTTACTTCCAACAAATTATTTTCCTGCTAGGTCTAATATTCTGTGATCAAATAAAATACTGTGGAGAGTAAACAAAGAGAAAATCTAATTATGAATCAATCTCACGCTTATCCTTGATTTCCCTTTCAAAACACTTTCTACCAATCCAATGTGGGCTATCTTTCCCACAAAATATTAGTCACACCTTAATAAGCAGTGCAATGAGATACTTGAAAGTAAACTTCACAGTTTCAGAAGCTTAATAAAAGTTATCGTTTGGAATAACAATCATTTTTACAAAGTATGATTAACCAGTACATTAGCATGAGTTATAATTTATTCTTACTTCTGTCCTAATTATTAGATTATATGCATTCAAATAGAAAATTTTCTGAATTCAAATTCTTCTTTTACCACTTTAAAACATCACCATGCTCTATTACGTTTTTTATTATTTTCTAAATGTGATTTATGACACACTTTTTGAAATTCCCCCCAACAATTTTAAGTACCTGAAAAAGAGGACCAATGTCCACATCAAAACCAAGATCAGCAAATCCTGTCGCTATAACTTTTGCTCCTCTGTCATGTCCATCCTGCCCCATTTTTGCCACAAGAAGACGGGGTCTGCGACCTTCACGTTCCATGAATTTATGAACCCTAAGCAACATTTAAAAAAACAAGTTATATATTAATTGTCCAAAGGATAGGATATAAAAACTATAATTTATTCACGCTAATCTTTCAAACTTATTTAAAAACACCTAATTTCCTCACTTAAATTTTGTTAACATCTCCATTTTACATTGAAAACTCCATTAAACCCTGAATGTTTACCATCTCCCCCTTAGAAGAAAGTTAGAAAGATGGCACAGCCTGTGTGACCATAACACTGAGAGCATCACAGTGCAGTGAGATGAGAAAATGACCACTTTTCAGTTTTAAGCCAGTCTCCAAAGCACATGGAGATACTCACATATAAACTAAAAATGACTTCCACAGTTATTTATACCTAGATGTGACTCACTAGCTGTTCTGACCTGTCCATATACCTCCCTCCACAAGTATGAACTCCTTCAAGCAGACTGCAATGTGGTACCTAATAATGACATGTAATCAAAATACCTGCTTACTTCAATCAGCAAACTGACACTCCACATGAAAAAGCACTATATTTATTTCTGACAAAAGAAAAAGTACTCCATTTTGATGACTTTCACCTTGGCTGTTTTGGTATTTATCTCATGTGTAAGTGGTCACATAAAATTTTACTGGGAAGTTTATTACAAAGTTTGAGAAAACGAAGCATCAGGAAGCTACTTCTTATACTTGTGACACATGATCAATTCACAGTAATGTATTTTTCCAAATCATGTTTGTGTCATTACTGCCAGTTCCATGAAGGCTGGTTTTAATTAATGCATATAGATGGCAACCAAATACTAACTTTCAAATAGGAAAATCAGTATCTTATAATCATTTGAGCAACTAAACAATGGAAATAAACTTAAGAAAATATGAAAATAAGAAGAATGAAATTTAAGTACCTGGAGGATATAAAGCAATATCAATGTCAGCTAACGAACATCTGTTTGAAATGAGAAACTACTAAAGGAGACTATAGTGAAAGTTAAAAATATTATTTTAGTAAAACTACAGACTAACAGGAAAGCCAAATTAAATATTTTCCAAGGGGTATGTGAAAAAATTAAACCCACAGTAGATTAATGGGGATTGTGTTAACTGAAAAGGTGATATGCTGCTTTAAGAAATCTCACATATTACCTCTTGATAGCAAATGATATCTCTTTACTTTCCCCAAATTCCTGGCGATAGGCTCCGCTCACCATACGATCATTAGCTTTATGTTCACCAAATACTTTCTTCAGGGCATCTGTGATTTCTCCAACTGTACATCTAAAATGTCATAGGGAAGTAGAAATATTTCGTTACCTCAATATTCAACATAATGAGACATGTTTTATTACCTAAGTAAAAAACAGGGTGTCAAAAATCTGAAAAATTTTTTCCTGCATCATGAAAGTATCTTTCTTCAGAATACTCATAAAAAAGGATTTTGGATGCCTTTTCAACATTTGTCAACAACAACAAAAAAATGACTGGCCTAAAAACTATAAATAGATAGGCATCTAAAGGTTACTGAGTAATTCACCATGGCAATATAAATGTGCAAAGACTAAGATTCCCCCTGATGTTTTCTTAATAAAAAGCCAATGTTTTAGCATATACCATCCATTTGTTTACGAATACATTCTACATGTACTGAGTACCTAATACGGGCCAACCACTGCTAAGTGCTAGAAATAGACTCATACATAAGACTGAAAAAAATAAATGAAAGTACCTCTTCTATTCTTACAGAGCTTAACGTCTAGTCAGAGGATATAGACAATACACTAGGCAAATGAATAATACAATAATTTCATGTGGTAACAAGTACTACAAAGACACTAAAATAGGCAAAATGGAATGGGTTGGCTGGGAAAGGAATTTTAAGGGTATTTAAAACATGAAGATATGATTTTTGAACTAGGTCCTAAATGATGAGAAAGAGAATATAGGGGAAGAGTATTTAAAAAAGGAAACACTACATGCATAGGTTCTGAGAAGCAGAAAAACATGTTTGGTATTCTAAATATAGAAAGAAAGATATTGCAGGCACAGCACAGCAAAGGAAATAGGATAAGACAAGGTCATAGAGGCAGGCAAGAGTCACAACCAGCACGACCTTGCAGGCCTTGGGAAGATTAGGTTTTAACTTAACTGAAATCGAGAAAAGGCTGACAGTGACCAGAGGGGAGAAGGGAGTGAATTGCAGGGAAAAAGGGGAAGGGTTTACAGAAACAAGTATAAAGAACAAATGGACAAAAACTACAGGGGGTGGACATGGGAGGGAGGTGGGGAGCACTGGGGGTGTGGGCTGGGATGGAAGTAAAAGACAGAAAACTGTACTTGAACAACAATTAAATACTTTTTTTTTTAAAAAAGATTTTAGAATTTAGTGCCGGCTGGTGTAGCTCAGTGGATTGAGCGCAGGCCTGCGACCCCTATGATCGTGGTTCGATTCCCAGTCAGGGCACATGCCTGGCTTGCAGGCCAGTTCCCAGCAGGGGACACATGAGAGGCAACCATACACTGATGTTTCTCTCCTTCTCTCCTTCCCTTCCTCTCTAAAGATAAATAAACAAAAAATTTTTTTAAAGAATTTTTAAAAAGTAATGTTAGTCCACTGGAGGGATTTTAAGCAGAGAACTCATCTTCTCTTAAGAAATTAAAACTGAAAAAAACAAAAACCCAACCCACATACTATTTACTCTATCCCTTAAGTGCTTAAAACATGTTTTTTAAAAGTTCATTATCTTATGCAATAAATAATAAAAGCAAGAATAATTTACTTAGTGACATTATCACATATTGGAAGAAGAGCTTCTGTGAGTCGCTCACTTTTCTCCACGTCCTGTGAGGCAAGCACTGACTGCCCTTCACTCTGGACCACCTTTTCAAACGTGTCTCTGTAGTGAATAGCCTTGGAAGACAAACATACTGTCTACCTCTGGACCCAGAGCAAGTGCTTATTATCCAACATATTAATGTCTCTATATACATGAAAGTACATCAAACTTCAACTTGCAAATCGGTGATATGGATTCATTACAACAGTGTCAAATGTCCTGAGTCATAGGAAAATACACAAGTATTAATACTCTCCATTCAAAATTCGTGAATGTTTTAAATGCATAAATGTTTAAGAAAAATAACAATTAACTTTACTCTGGTCTCCACTATCTTCTTTTAGGCTCACATGGTTTACAGGTTCAATGTTTTGTTTTAGTGTACTCTGAAAAGCTAACTAGTCAACTTTTACTGTTTATAACTCTCCAAAGTTATTATCACCTTGCACGAGCTGCATCCACTGCAAGAGCCAGGATATTCCCATCTCCACTGGCAGCACATTCAGTCAGTGCAGCAAGACACCGTTCAGCCAAAGCAGGATCCCTGCTACGTTTGACCTTATCAAAAAGGTCAAGGAAAGGGAGGATTTAAGTGAACAGATCAGAAAATCAGACCCTGATATACATCATACAGAAATTGTTTCATAATCCTGACCTCAGAAACTAAAGAAAAATATAAAGAGAATAGTATGTATCCTAGGACTGATATTCCTTTTATTCATCTACTCATTCAACAAACATCTAAGGACTTCCACAAATACCAAATTCTGTATAACCCTGACAAATCATAAATAAGCAGAGAAATAATAAGTAACAGTGCTGACCCTTCCAAGTAATACAAGCTGCTTAAGGCTTTTCTAATTTATCAAGATAATAAAAACAAGTGACTCTTTTATATAAGGAATTTCAAAGGCACTAAAGGTTAACAGTGACAAGGAAGAAAAAAAGAACAGGTTACAACTTAAAGAATAGTTCAGTATATTTTGTTTCCCTGAGCTAATTGACAATGTATCAGTAATAATATGTATATACATTCGGTTTTTTCTTTTTTTGTATTTAAAAATAATCCCAGGCAGACAAAGAGAGACAGAGATGATGAGAAATATTGTGATAAAGGACAATAAAAAGCATGGTCAAAAACTTTTTTCTTTAAGTTCTACATATACCATGCTCTGCCAACACCTGTCTAATCAAAGTTACCTAAAATCCAATTTTTTGCAAGTTTTCATCACCTGTAAGAGTCTAAAACATTATACTACTCAATATGTTGCTAAAATTATTTAGTCTCTATAAGTAGAGGTACCAGAAAATTTATATTAAAGGTAAGTTATTATTAACTTACCTTATTAAAGGTAAGTTAATACCTTCCATTATTAAATTTCTCTCTTGCCCAAAATAAGGTCTATCGTTTATATTGTAAATGGAACCCCTCAAGCTTGAGGGTATACAGTCAGTAAGAGCCTGAGGTAGAACAGAAGAGAAAAAGGTTTCCCAAGTATAATAAATATTGGGACTTTTGTAATCAGGGGAATTAAAATGCTACTTCCTAAAAGGGTCTTTTAAAAATGACAATGTAAGAGAGGAGTCACTACCTTCTGATGAAAGGTAAAAAAGGAAATATCATTAAACATCTACCATTCCCTCTTAACAGAAAGAGAAAAAAAAGCTGGTAGTTATGCATTCAATCTAACTGGACAAAATCTGGTAGATTCTTAAAGAACACTTAAACTGAGAGGTAGAAAAAGTTTCATACTAAACAATCAAAGGCTAAGTGAACAGAGAAAAGTCATTAAAGAATTTCAAGCACCTGCCTTAGAAACAGCAGTAATTACAAAAGCCAGAGATTAAGAGACCAAGGTGTATATTTCTATACAATAGAAATATATAGGTTACAACAATAAAAATTAATATGTTTTCTCTAGTTTAGTATTTCATATACTTTGGATCATCTCAGTGAGAAAGTAGGAATAAAAGGATAGAAAATGCTTTAGTTTCAATTAAAATAAGTATAGTTCCTTATAAACTGCAGCTTACTAAAAAGCACTACTAAATACATTTTCATTTTTAAAAAAAGACAGAGTAAATGATTCAGAATAGTATCAGGAACCATGGTCTAGTGGAAATAAATTACAGTGAGAAGCCCTGGGTGCAAACACTGGCTGTGAACTTTATTTTGTTTTTTAACTTAGAGTGAGTTACATAAACCTCTGTGCCCTAGTTCCAATCTGTAAATGATAAGAGGTATTATTATGGTGTGATTTTAATACTAACATATAAGTTTCTCAGAGGCAGATATCATGATTTAAAACATGAATTTTTGGTGTCAACAGACTTAGATTTGAATCCTGGCTGTTCAGTAACTTACCCAAGTTTCTCAACCTCCCTTATCTTCAGTTTTCCTTATCTTTAAACTGTTGGGAAATAATACCCACCTCATGAGGCTGCTGCAAGGCTTAAGCATGACAATGTAAGGACTTAGCCAGTGTCCAGAACACTGAAAGCACTCAAAACATGATAGCTATTATTACCTTCTTAAGTTTTTCAATCTGCTTGTTACGCACTGAAGTATTATCAATTGACAAAACATCCACAGGTTCTTCTTTTTCCAGCTGGTACTTATTTACTCCAACAATTACTTCAGAACCTGTTAATTTCCCAGAGGAAAATAATTTGTAGATTCTATTCACAGATATATACCTAATAGTAATAACCTGATCATCATGTATTTCCTGTATAAGTTTAATATTTTTTAATTTTAATTGATTTTTAGAAAGAAAGGAAGGGAGGGAGCAGGGGAGAGAGAGATAGTGATTTGTTGTTTCACTTATTTATTCATTCACTGGTTGATTCTTTCATGTACCCTGAACAGGGATCAAACCCACAACCTTGGTGTATGGGAATAATGCTCTAACCAACTGAGCTACCCAGCCAGGGCCCCTTATAAATTTAATATTTTTAAGAGGTCTTTGTAACTCATAATAAACTTAAATACAGATCAGCAAAATCCCAATATGGTATGCGAGTGGGAGGAGAAAGAACAGGTATATGTCAGAAACCCTGTAAAGGACAATTTTTATTATTCTCCCAAATGACTGCTTTCCTGAGTTTCTGATAAACCCTCTTCTAACACTTTTACAAAATCAAAGCAGTGATAGCAGCTACCATCAAAGATTTATAGGGTAGAGAATTAACACACAATAGGTTTTCTAGTATTTTCTTGAATTCTCTTATGGCTCATCGTATTAAAACAAAATATATTTTTAAATCAATAAATGATAACCTAGAATTAAGACATTTCTTTAACATGATAAAAAATATATATTCACCCTGGTGGTGTGGCTCAGTGGACTGAATGCCAGCCTGCAAACCCAAAGGTCCCCAGTTCAATTCTCAGGCAGGGCACATGCCTGGGCTGCAGGCCAGGTCTCCCATTGGGGGCTTGCAAGGAGCAACCAACTGAGATATTTCTCACACATTGACGTCTCTCTCCCTCTCTCTCTCTCCCAGCCTTCCCCCTCTCTAAAAATAAATATATAAAATCTTTTAAAAAAGGAAGAATATATTTTGCCTCAAACTACTAGATTATTAGTCTATCAAAAGATAACCTGCCATCCCTACCCAAGGTTATATCCCTTATTTCCTTCATTGAACTCATCACAATCTATAATTATTTTTTAATTTACTTGTTTACTTGTTAATTTTCTCTCTCTCAATAAAATGTAAACTCTATGAGTGCAAACCATGTCTGTCCTATTTACAGTTTTATGCCCAGAAATAGCACAGTGTCACATATACTTAAGACTAAAAAAGTGTTGATTGATTGTGAATGACTGAATGAATGACTGAGTGAATGACTGAATGAATGACTGAGTGAATGACTGAGCGAATGACTGAGTGAACGAATGCTCCAATGCACAGCACGATGACCAGAAATCATGTCACCTTCAGAATGCTGCAGATACCCATCCACACACCTGTCCATGCACACAACAGGCATACCTCCGGTCACACTGTACACTTTGTCCACGTGCTTGTCCATATGCATCCATGCATGCAAAAATACAAACACCGAGACAGACAAATAGATCAACAGATGGATTTAGATGAGAAATATTTTACCCAAGTTTTCGTTTTTCCATTACTTTTGTTTTATTAACTATGTATGTTATTTTCAATGAGAAATTAATATTTCTCTTTAAATACTGGATTTCACATATAAACTTTTCTACTTATCTTACCAGAATCTATTCTAGCTTGTCTTCGGGCAGCACATTCTTCAATTCGAAGTTTAGGTATTCCCTCTGCCACAGCTTTGGCCATTCCACCCATTTCTTCAATTTCATTAATGAGCTAACAGGAAAAACAGATTAATAAAATGAAAAGAGAATATAAAAATACTTTTATAAACTAGTCAAATTTATGTTACATAATTAGTAATATTAAACTATTTTAGTAAGCTCTGGCTAGTGTGGCTCAGTGGAATGAGTGCCAGCTTACAAACCAAAAGGTTGCCAGTTCAATTTCCAGTCAGGGCACAAGCCTGGGTTGTGGGCCAGGTCCCCAACAGGGGGCGCTCAAGATGCAACCACACATTGCTGGTTCTCTAACTCTTTCTCCCTCTCTTCCCCTCTCTCTAAAAATAAATAAAATATCTTTAAAAATTATTTTAGTGATTAATTTTATGATTCATAAGAAAAGAATTAAGGTAACATCAAAAATAAATCAGAAATTCTGCAGTTAATAATGCCGTGTATTTATATTTGAAAATTGCTAAGAGAATAGATCTTAAAAGTTCTCACACACAAAAAATATGTAGCCCTGTGTAAATGATGTACATTAACTAAACTTCTCTGGCAATCACTTCACAACATATACATATATCGAATCATTGTACTGTACACCTAAAGCTTATAGAATGTCATATGCCAAATATATCTCAATTTAAAAAAAAGAAATTCTGTGTTTAAAGTTGCTTAGACATCAACAGAAAAACTAACAAGTATATTCTGGAAAAATTAAAGCTCTCACTCAGGTCTTGGAAGAACTAAAAACAACATCAGTTCTTTAATCTTCATTTTTAAATTACATAAAGTTTTCATAATTATTTAAATATAGACTCTTTAAAATGCAATTTTACTTTTGGTTTCAGCAGCAGAGTAATGACATAACTTCATCCTCACTGACACCAGGAACCATCTACCTCCCATCACAGTCTCATACGTAAGTGGAAGGGTGGAAAATGGGCGGTGGAACAGTCAGCACGAGACTTAGCGGAAAGGAGCAAGGTCAAACATGCTTCCTTCTGAAGAAGTCAAGAAAGAGGCATTTGTATTGGATTCAACAGAAGCCAAAGGTAAGACAGGAAGCTAAGAAATGGGGGACTACTGGAGAATTTGCAACTATCTGCTCCCACCCTGTCAGAAGAAGCAGTTTACTGTGTGCAGAAAATGAAGTAGAGATGCAATGCACTATCAAACATCAGAGACACAGAGGCTAGGGTAAGATGACTAAAATAAAAACCTGCATTCTCAATAATAAGACGAAAGACAAAAGGCACACAGAGGAAACACAATACAGGACGTCAAAGAAAACCAAAAAAAAAGGGAAATTCTGCATTAATGAAATAAAATACTAGGAGGGACAAAAAGGAAAATTAGAAAATAAAAATAAGCTCCTGGAAATCTTAAGTAGAAAGGTAAAGTTGACAACTCTCCAAGAAAACAGAACAAAAATTCAAAGATGGATTATAGAACAAATAAGAACACCAGATCATCACCTAAAAGGGTCTTTACCTGCTAATTAGGAGTTCTAGAAAGAAAAATTACAGAAATATGGCAGGGAGAAAATAATCGAAAAAATTATACAAGGCAATCTCTGAGAGCTAAAAGAACATGAAAAGGAGGGCAAGATGAAAAAGGGCCACCAGAGGTCTAATACAATAGAGGAACTATACACACACCAAGGTACAACGACACAAACTTTCAGAAAGAAAGATGCTGACTGAGAATAGCATTAGATTTCCAAATGGAAATATTGGAAGGTAGAGTGAAAAACTAAAAAAAAACAACAATATTTATAAATTTTCTTACCAATTCTCAAACAAAAATAATTTGAACATAATTGGAACATGAATCAAGTGCAAGAGTAGAATAAATATATTTTCAAATCAAACTTTCAAATAATTCATCTCCCATGCACCCTTTTTAAGAGTTTACTATGAGATATGACTTCATAACAAGGGACAGATCAACATAGATGGACACAGGACTCAGCATACAGACTTAACACAGCAGGGATGAAAGGAACGCCCAGGATGATGACAAAGGAAAGTGAAATAACAGCAATGGTCCAGAGAGAAACCAGTCTAAAACGAATAGGAACATTAGAGGACTTCAGGAAAAATTGATATTGAGACATAATTGCATTGGTAGTATGAGACAAGGGGAAAAACAGTATGAGTTACCTGAAGTACTAAAGTACCAGAGTAGCAAAACAATATGTAATATCTAAAACTGATGGAATTAAACACTATATACATGTACAGCTGACCCATGAATAATGTGGGGATTAGGGACGCCAACACCATTCAGTTGAAAATTCATGTATAACTTTTGACTCCCCCCAAAACTTAATTATACTCATCCCTTGGTATCCACGGGGCAGGCATCATTCCAGGACTCCCCAGAGACACCAAACTCCTCAGACATTCAAGTCCCTCATATAAGATGGCATAGAACAATGCATACAGTCAACCCTCTGCATCAGAGTCCCAACCACCAATGCAAAACCAGAAATATGGAGGGCCAACTGCATATTTATTTTTAAAAATCCATGTTTGAACGGACTTGTGTGATTCAAACCCATGTTGTTCAATACTGTAATTCTAAAATACGGAGATAAAAACAAAAAGATGTACAGTAACTAACTCGAGGAACCAGAAAAAAAGCAAGCAGAAGACAAAAGACTACTGCTTTTTTTTGTTATAAGCCTTTCAAAACCATCTTTTTAATTCTTTAAATAAAATATTTTAATACAAATACACCTGTACTTTCAAATTAAGTTTCAGTTCAAATACTAGAAAGTCAAATCCAAAATTCCCCTTTCCCATCAAACACTGTATTAATCTTGATACAAATCTATAACTGATTTGACTTACAAATCAAAACATCTATAAATCTTTACAAACCTGTAAAGCCTGAAAGCAAAGTTTCAAAGAGAAGAAACTGACCTTCAGAGCAGCATCATAAACATCATTTGTGAGAGACTCCATCATGTATGAACCTCCCCAAGGATCAGCCACTTTGGGAATCCCAGATTCTTCCTGAATGATGATTTGTGTGTTTCGAGCAATTCGAGCACTTTTCACAGTCGGCAAACCCAAGGCTTCATCAAAAGAATTTGTGTGTAAAGACTGAGTTCCTCCAAAGACTGCTGCCATTGCTTCTATTGTAGTACGAATAATGTTATTGTAAGGATCCTAAAACATTTGATTAAAAAAAAGTTGATATATATACGAGCTATAAAAGAGTGGCTATTGCCTGCTTTTCCGCCACTGTCTACATTAGGTTTCAGAATATCAAATAAATTTACACGAGTTAGTAAATAACCCAGACTTAGAGTCAAAGTGTCTAGTCTGTGCTTAGGCATTAAATACTGCCTTTTATAATCCCTGAAATATTAAATGTTTATTGTTTTTACTTTTGTATTCCTATTCTTCTATAACTATATCATAAATATATACTTTGTCTACTTAGATTATAACATCCTTCACCTCATAATTCACTATCTCCTAATTACTTTGTACACTTGAAGTATCTATCACAAGATATACAAAACAGGCACTCAATACATGATTGATTATGTTCTTAAATGTGATTTGGCCAAGTCATCAGACCTTTCTGAACTGTATTTCCTTAGCTGTAAAAATGAGGAGGTTAAAAAAAAAATTATTAAAGTCCTTTCAACTCTGAAATCTGTATTTCTCCATTTATAAGTACATGAAGTTATATTTAATATGGAGTATATTAGTTATATTCAGTTTAATATGCATAAAAGAAATCTAAGTTTTAAATTACAAATTATTTTAAAATGTCAAAATAATTTAACATATAAAGAGAATGCATGTAAAAAAGACCACCATAGAAGTTTTAACAGAATGAAATTAAGTTAAATTGCCCAAATGATGAAAGTTTTTAAATGGTCTGTTTGCATGCATGCTTATTTAAACATATAAGTATAATAAAAATATGTATAATCAAATCTAATTAGTTTTATGTTATGAATTGTAACTCTTAAAATTACTTAAGACAAGTTATTAAATTATGATTTAATTTAATTTACTTATTTCTGACATTTTTCCCTTTAAAAATAAAAAACAGCACTAGTTAAGATTTAAATGATTTTATATTGTTAACCACTAGAGGGAGACAATTTTATTTACTATGTGTAAAAAATAAACAAGTATAAATTATCCTTCAGAATAATTATGATTTTCAAATATTAGCATTTAGGTTCTTAGTGTATTTCCTGACTATGTCATGTTGCTTACAAGAAAATATATAGCTTTGTTAAAATTGTACACTTTAAATTATATACATACCTGCTCAGTAAGAGACCATCCTGATGTCTGACAATGTGCTCTTAGAAGAAGGGATTTAGAGTTTTTGGGCTGAAAAAGCTTCTCTATTAAGTGAGCCCAGAGTCTTCTCCCAGCTCTCATTTTTGCTATTTCCATATAGAAGTTCATCCCAATTCCCCAGAAAAAAGATAACCTAGAATAGTGATGTTAAATCCAGAATTTGGTTATAGTTAACAATGTAAAATGAAAAATAAAAACTGATTGTGTCACACACTAAATATGTCAGATTTTAATTTCAAACAACTTAATTTAAATTCAAATCAAGCATATATACTTCAGTAAGTTTAAACCTAATGTATAAAAGAGCAGTTTTAAGCATAATAGGAGAAATAACTGTGATCATTTGCTTCAGGTAAGAATTAATTTACTCTGCCCTGGCTGCTGTGGCTCAGTGGATTGAGCTCTAATCTACAAACCAAAAGGTTGCTGTTTCACTTCCCAGTCAGGGTACACGGCGGGGGTTGTGGGCCAAATTCCCAGTTGGGGGCACACAAGAGGTAACCAATCAATGTACCTCTCAAACGTTGATGTTTCTCCCCTCTCTTTCTTCCTCCCTTCCACTCTCTCTAAAAATAAATAAATAAAATCTTTTTTTAAAAAAAGAATTCATTTACTTTATAATTGCTATTTTTTGGAAAAAAGGTCCTCTTGTAGTATTCTTAGAATACAAGAATTTTCTTTCTTTTTATTTTTTTTATGTTTTTTTAAAGAATACCCAAAGGCAGGGGTCACCTACAAAGAAAATAACACCACAAATTTGCTTCAAATAGCAATTAAATTAAGTTGTTTTTTTTTTTTAAAGAATGGCTGTGTATTTGCCAAGGCATATATGTTTCCAATTGTTCCCAAGCCACTACTCCCTTTTACCTTATATCCTATACACTTTAGGTTACTTGCCCGAGTCTAAAGGCACAAAGGTTGTGAATCCCTATCTAAAACAAGGTTAGCCTTAAGTAAAGAAACTAAAACCTAGTAAAAATTCTTGATACACACTTAGAAGTTCATTTGCAAAGGAAGAGATTTCAGACTGTCAATGAGCTTCAGGAAAATACGATGGGAAAGTTGATGGCAATTGAAGTTGATGGCAACTCCTTTTCCCTCTTAAAAATTACTAAAGAAAACTTTTTTGTTTGGTTATCTCATTATTTTATATATTAATTCACTTAGAAATAAATGTACAATATGTTAACATAAGTAACATTTTAATAAAAAACAATACTTTTCTAACAAAAACATTATAATAAGAGTAAATGTTTTACAATCTTGCAAATCTCTTTCAAGCGTGGCTTAAGGAAGGTAGCGAGAGCCACACACCTGCTTCTGCATTCAATGTTACATCATATATCATGCAGTCTCTGAAAAAATCACTGCACACTCGTGAGAAACTGAAAGTGAACACGGCAAAGTCTTAATATAATTATGAAAACCGCTTTGACGTTTAAGAGCCGGAAAAGAGTCTTAGTGACTTCAGGAGTCCTTGGCCCACGCATTTGAGAACTGCTGTCATGATAAGTACACAACAATCCCTGGGACAATGAACATTCACTAGTCTATAAGCTCTCCAGGGACGGAAACCACGTTTTCACATGCTCTATTCCTAGTGGTTGGCCCAGAGCAAAGCTTAGCAAATTACAGTTCATCAGACTGATTTTGACCTCCAAATAAAAATACTTCATAAACCTCATTTCAAGTTTTTTCACCCAACTTTAATAACAAGCTGTTTGAAAAAAATATTTTTAATAGCACTGTGCATTCCAAAACATTTATAAGTGCAACACATAAAAAAAGTAAAATTTAACAGGTGACTTTTATATTAAAAAAAATTTTTTTAAAACAAAAGCAAATCTGCCTTAAACATTGTTTACATTTTAATATCATTTGTCAAAATGTGCCAGTTATTTGTGTTCTCTATCAATAGACAAGACTCCTCTTATTCACCAAGCAGTACAGTCAAAATTAATTCTAATTTTTAATTATAAACATTAAATTAAATAAGTATAGGGTTATTCCCTCATTAACTCTCACATAAAGTAATAGAACCTAGTATAACATTAACATATACAAATTCATTTTATCGGTATATTTTGCTGTATGTTCATAATATGGTCCTATGCATTTTCTTAATGTTGAGGCAATTTCCAATTTTATTTTAATTTCCTCACCTTGGGGCAAATTCATCAATTGTCAGGCCAGCCTGGAGTCCCGTTCTACAGTACTCCAATCCATCTGCTATGGTATAGGCCAGTTCCAGAATGGCATCAGCTCCTGCTTCCTGCATATGGTATCCACTAATTGAAATTGAATTAAATTTTGGCATGTGCTACATAAAAAAAAAAAAAACAGTAAATAAAAATATAAAAAGGTTCTATTAGACCTATTTTCTAAAAAGCAACATTATTTTAAAATGATGTTCAGCCCTGGCAGTTTGGCTCAACTGGCTGGGCGTCATCCTACAAACCAAAAAGTTGCAGCTTCGATTCCTAGTCAGGGCACATGCTTGGGTTACAGGTTCGGTCTCTGGCAGGGTGCCTAAAAGACAACTAATAGATGTTCCTCTTTCTCTCCTGCCTCTCCCTTCTCCTCTCACTAAGATAAATAAATAAATAAATAAAATAAGATGATGTTTGACTCAGATATAGTAAGTAGTTTAAAATATTAACTGAAGCCCTGGCTATAGCTCAGTGGATTGAGCACAGGCCTGTGAACCAAAGATCGAGGTTCGATTTCCAGTCAGGGCACATGCCTGGGTTGCAGGCCAGTTCCCAGCAAGGGACACATGAGAGGCAACCATACATCGATATTTCTCTCCTCTCTCCTTCCCTTCCACTCTAAATATAAATAAATAAAATCTTTTAAAAAATATTAACTGAAAATATTTAATGCTTACTTTGTTACATTTAATTCACTTTCCAATTAAAATGACCAATCCAACCAACCATTATAAGGACTGTACCTGCTCTATTTTTCCCGTGAAAAGGAAACCAACCAACCTTTAATACCAAAAGTTTAAACTTCAAAATTAGCTGGCTGAGGTCAGGAATATAACCTTTACCCCAAGAACTGAATAAAGACATCTTTAATTAAAAACCAATGACTTTGACCTCATAATAGGTCCAAACACCTCGTAACTTTGGGCTAATCTGTCAAAGTTGTATAAATTTAATTATTTACTTATTATTATCTTATTAGAATAAAGTCATTGAACATGAATAAGTACACAGTGCAGGAAAAAATAGGAAAATGATTCAATCCTAAGTACTATACAAGGTCTGTCTGGAAAAAGCCCAGCCATTGTTAATATAACGAGAACACTGCACAACACCGACATGACCTGGCAGCCAAGGAGAGTGGGCTGGAATGCCCAAGTTAGAACAATGATGACTCCAATGTCCTAGTCAGTGGGGACAGCAGATGCCACTGAGGGAACATGTGCACTGTGTGGCCACTGCATTCAAAATGACTGAGCGAGTAGAGCAAGGAATCTGCATCAAATTTTGCTTTAAGCTTGAACATTTTTCCATGGAACTGTTCGGGTGATTCAGAAGGCTGCAGCTATGGGCAAGTGGTGATTGGCGGCTTCATCAATATGTGCCTACTCATGTATCACATCTCATACAAAGGTTTTTGGCAAAACATCAAATCACCCAGGTGACCCAGCACCCTTAGAGCCCAGATTTGGTGACCTGCAACTTCTGACTTTTCCCAGAACTAAGTCACATTTGAAAAGGAAGAGATTTCAGACTGTCAATGAGCTTCAGGAAAATACGACGGGAAAGTTGATGGCAATTGAGAGAAGTGTGTGAGGTCCCAAGGTGCCTACTTTGAAAGGGACTGAGGCATCACTGTCCTGTGGACAATATTTCTTGTATCTTCTTCAATAAATGTCTACTTTTCATAGTACATGGCTGAATACTTTATGAACAGACCTCATATACTGAAACAAAACAGGACAAAAATGACTGGCTTAAAAACCAAAAATTTCTGTTTGATTTACTGAGATATTTAATGCTAAGCGTATCTCAGGCAGATTCTTTTTTTTAAAAGACAGATTCTTTCTACCCAAATCACTAAGAAAACGGTATTTCCACAATTCCCCAAAATGTCATGTTAGGTAGGGTACATATTCTAAAGAGCCAAAAAATTATTATCCTTCCCAAGAGTTAACCAAATATAAAATAATAAAAAGGGTGGGAATTGACTGTGAGAGCAGGGGGTGGGCTGGGCAGAGGAGGACAAAGGGGGAAAAGGGACAACTGTAATAGAATAACAATAAAATATTTTAAAAATAATAATAACAACTCAAGGACAGAAATTCAATGCAGTGATTAAGAACATGGGCTCTGATTCCAGCTGTCACTTGACCAGCCATGAGAATGACTGTAGGCAAGTTTCCCAACCTTTGTTTCTGGATTTCCCAAAGTATAAAATACAGATAATATACCTTCTACATGGAGTTGTTGTAGGAGTAAATGCAATGATTCATCTAAGCCACCTAGTATTATGTCAGTACATAGCAAGCACTCAAAAAAAATCCGTTGTTCTAGCACATGGTATGGGGTAGCTGTATTTTACTTTGCAAATATTTTATGTATTAACTAACCAAAACCTTTTTTTTTAATGTTCCATCACAAAAATAAGGAGATCAAAGTACATGGAATTGAGATACTACTTGAGTATATTTGAAGTCGACAAATAAGCAATGACAGGTGCTTCTCTGCCAAGAGGAGTTTAGTAGCAAAATCTCGTTAAGAATGATAAAAGTACTGGAATGTTGAAATATTATTCAGCCTTAAAAAGGAAGGCTATTCTGACACATGCTACATGATCCACCTTGAGGACATCATTCTAAGTGAAATAAGCCAGTCATAAAAAGACAAATACTATATTATTCCATTAATATGAGGTTCTTCAAGTTTTCAAATTCATAGAGATAGAAAGTAGAATGGTGGCTGTGGGAGAAGGTGAAGAAGGAGGGGAGAATAAGAAGTTGTTATTTAACAGATACAGAGTTTCAATTCTGCAAGACTTAAGAGTTCTACAGATAAATGGTGGCGATGGTTGCACAACAATGTATTTAATGCCATTGACTGTATACTTAAAAAGAGTAAGATGGCAAATTTTACGTTATGTATGTTTGCCACAACTAAAAAGTGAGTTTGCAGTTTACAAAGTACTTTAATATAACATTACTTAATCAGTATCTGAAACTGGCACTTATCACTTATATGAAGAACTATTTAAGCAATCTTGAACCTGTAGATGACTTCAGGATCCTTTACAAAGTGAAATGTCCAAGTATGTGACAGCACAGACTGCCACATTCTCCACTCTCCCACAACAGCTAAACTGTAAATCCAGTGTGCCAATGCACAAGGACTACATTTCCGATCTTCTCTCACTACTGGCTGTGTCCATTGAGATATACAAGTAGAAGTTTGGTTTCTTCCTTCTGGAACCACCTTTTATCAAAGGTCCCTCTCTTCACATAAAAACACATGGCCCACCTACTTCCTTAACCATGAGCTCACATACTAATAGAGGAAAAGTCAGACAAAAGGAGACTGGTACCGTGATGACTGTGGTGGTTCCCGATAGCCCACCTCACAACTCCTTTCACAAGAAAGAGAACTGCCTCCCATTTACTTTAAGCTCTGCTATTTGTGTACTGTCTTGGTCATATGCTGCTAAACGCCATCCTCCTGGCCATACATTCTTCAAATTGAAAAGAGTGATAGAAATATACATTTCTATTCAATACATTTCATATGGGCAGATGGAATCTACAAAAAAAATAAAACTGCAAAGTGTAAAAGCTAAATATCAAAAAAGGAAAGTATGCAATGCTTACAAGAGTTCTGAAGGAATAGTAATTATAAGAGGTGAGAGAGATAAAGGCTTGATGGTGGAGGAGAGATTTGCCCTTTGCTGTGAAACAATGGTCTAACTTTAAGGTTGGTAAGGAGGAGAGCAGTGCCATCAGGAAGCAAGTGTGAATGATGGGGGCAAATATACATGAATTACTCAGAGGAAATGAAGACACTGGGTCTCCTGTGGAAGGACTGCCGTTAATACAAGAACACTACAAGACCCTTCTTTTCCCACCATTCTGATTGGGAAAGACGAACCTAATTTGGGGTGAAATATTAGGAACTTCATGTGGTTACAGATTTAAGTGACATCTTGTAATCCAATTTTTAACAGACATAAAACTTATATTTTGGTCCCTCTCGGTCTGATACCAGTATCTATTCACAACCAAATCTGAGCTCTGGAGGAAAATGAAGAAGTGTAAATTATGAGCCCTCTGCGATAACAATTATCAGAGAGTAAAAATTTTAACAATAAAGAAAATACAGTAAATATCTAGCATCCAGATTCCTACAGGTACTGACAGACCATGTAATTAATACATTAAAAACAAAAATAAAAAACAAAACCCTAACAACAAACATACACAAACAAAATGAAACAATACACACCCGACTTAATATTACAACTATTACTCAGACTCAGTTACCAAATTCAAATTAGGTTATGGTATTTTATAAAAATTCCTACAGTTAAAGAACTACTGCAAAGCCTATAATAGCCACAAAGGATACCTTTGCTGTATATTGGAAGATGTCAGCAATAATTTTCATGGATGGTTGTGGAGGAAAAATGTAAGTATTTCTGACCATAAACTCCTTTAGTATATCATTTTGGATTGTACCAGTAAGTTTCTCTTTAGGTACACCTTGCTCTTCTCCAGTTACTATAAAATTTGCAAGGACTGGAATAACTGCTCCATTCATGGTCATGGAAACTGACATTTTTTCTAAAGGAATTCCATCGAAAAGAATGTTGGTATCTTCCACAGTGTCAATTGCAACTCCAGCCATTCCAACATCACCACGAACTCGAGGGTTGTCTGAATCATAGCCACGATGTGTTGCCAGGTCAAAGGCAACTGATAATCCCTGTTGACCGGCTAAATATATAAAGACAAAAGTAATGTAGGATTAAAGAGTGTGGTATATAAAATAAACTGATTTGCCTATCACTACTCTTGATTAATCTCATCATAGTATACTTGTATACCATTTTTATGCTCATAAATGACAAAAAAATTAAATAGCTATTTTATTTCCTAAGATAGTCAGCTGTTTCCCATGTGCTACAATGTACAAACTGAAGTTTCAGACCTCATTATACAAATAAAAGAAACAAAAGATCTCACTTACCCCATATCCATCTGAGGATTTTTTTTCCTTAACAATTTTTGATGGAAATAGTTTTAAGAGTCATGTAAAGATCTGTTTATATAAAGTTAACAATATTTAGTACTTGTGTGCTCACTTATTTTTGCTCTTTTATTTAATATGGTTATTATAGGATGTCTTAGATTTTCACATTTTCTGGGAAAATTATGTATAAAACTAAACTATTCTCCATTAAATATAAGTTCAGTCCTCCATGGCCAATACAAACATCCTCAAGTTTATCATACAAACAATATGATTGTATTGTAGATCAGAAAGAAGAAATAGTAAATATGATTTTCAGAGAATTAATGCTGCATACTACTGAATATGTTTGCACCACATTATTACTTGTTTATTGCTTTCCTTGGGATCACTTAAACCATTTTCTCCTCCAACTCCTATCCTAAAATAATGTTTATTAAAAGATTTTCAAAGGCAAAGCCAATGTCTCTTGTCTTCTTATAACTTCACTTCACCAAATTACCTTTACACAATGTGCATACAACTGTTTGCTTTCAAGAATTTAGTATTTTGGTCTGGCTCACCTATCTTTTGACCACGGAAGTTGAAAACTGTACGGGACCAGTTTGTCTTGGCCTGGCAAATGTGACTCAGCTCTGTACGGAAAACCTACAGATGTGAAGTGGGGGGCAGGAGCCAGTCTTCAAACCAAGTTTTCCCGTGGGAATCAAGCCTAGAAAATACTTACAGACTATTATGGTTTGCTCTCGCTAAAACCCCCTCACCCTGGTCTAAAGCAACAAATGTGTATTGTCTATCCTCAAGGTAACTTCCAAAGCCTATGTGACCTCTCCCAAGGACAGAGTTAATGAGCTCATTGCCATCCCCCTCTGCACGCTATTTTTATTTCCTTGATTGTACCTAGAATGTAGACAATAATGTTCTATGTGATAGATAATAAACCTTTCTTTGATGTAAGACCCAAGGAAAACAATAAAAGCCTGTTTAGGCAAAAGTTGGGGCGCTCCCCTCTTGAGGGAGTGGCCGAGGCACCATAGGCACTCTCCCCTTGAGAGAGTAGTCGTGCCTGTTCCCTTCTTCCACACAGGATTGTTGTCGCCTGTGCATTGATTCTCGTCGTCAACCATAACAGGCAGACTCTGCTGGATAGAGTCTGCAACAGAAAACCACTCATTTTTTCAGAGTTATATTCTAAACTACAAAATCATAAAATGACTATTATATTTATAAAGATTAACCAGCCTCCCCTCAAAAAAAAAAACAAGATTAGAAAGTATATGTTTGATCATAAATATTATATCTCACATTAAAAATCTCACCCTTAATATTGTCCTTATAGAACTTATTGCTCTCTTCAACAGTACTAAAGCCAGCATACTGGCGGATGGTCCAGGGCCTAAAAGTGTACATGGTGGGATATGGTCCACGTGTGAATGGCTTCATTCCTGGAAGCTCTTCCTGTAAGTCCTTGGTGTCCCTGCTGGAATATAAGGGCTTCACAGAGATCCCTTCTGGGGTGCGCCATATTAGGTCTTCTGGATTTTTGCCTTTCAGCTGCTTTTTAGCCAGGGCAGCCCATTCTGGGTGAAGTGGCTGTTGCTGGTGCAGAAGTCGCTGACATAAATCCCTAGAGACTGATGACTCTTTTAGTTGCTTCAGGTGATGAGGTGAAAGCAAAAAGAGACGACTCTTAGCCCTCAACATGATGGAGCATGGAAAACACCCAACAGAGACAAAAACTGACCTAGGAAAAAAACACAGTATGCATTTATTTACAAGAGAGGCAAAAGAGGAGCATTTGGTGAGAAAAGAAAAGAGGGTATATTAGTATCACTTCATCACTTCTCCTTTTCTGCTTCCTGTACCTGATATTTAAAATTTTAGCCCCTCTTCTCTAGAACTATAATTGTTCTAGTTCTCTTCCTCAATAGCCTCTTAGATAGTTTTACTGACCAATCTGAGCCCCTCTAAGCCATTCTATGCACTAACACCAATGCAAACCTGATGTCACACTTCTCTTAAGATTTTTTCAAAGGTTCTGCATCATATAGACGCTATAGCATATAGCCTCTTAATTAATTTTTTTTCATTCTGCAACTTGTCGTGTAACACTTACTTTATGACAGGCATTGTGTTGGCTGCTGGATAAAAACATGATAAGGAAGACAAACAGGCAGGTAAAGAGCCCTCCATGACCTGCTTATCTCTCAGACTCAGCATCCTCTATACTTTTTGTGTTCAATAAATACTGGATTACCTGCAGTCCCCTTCATATCCCAAAGTTCTTTGACTTGCTCTTGCTCTTCCACCTGCCTACAATATTCTTCTTTGGCTAATTCAGCTAAGGCTTCATCTCAAACATTCAGGGTTTTCTATGTATCCTGCACTATTCTAAGAACTTTATACATAGAGTAGCAATTTTAATTTTCACAACACCAAGAGATAGGTACTAATGTTATCCTATTTACAGACAAGGAAACGGAGACACAAAAAACTCCCCATCTGAAACTGAAGAGTTCCATTTCCAAGTCCCTGAATTCAAGTCACAGCCTCTCTTTGAATCCACAAGCTGGGCTACATGGCCTCTCAGTAATCTAAAGAACTCTGTGTCCCCACTTATACATCTATCATCTCCCATATGACAATGTATTAGAACACTATTTTTATGTTTATATAACATACATTTATTTATGTATGATATATTTGATATTCATATAAAATACATATATACACAATCATATATACACTCTATATACAGTAGTAGGCAAAAGTAGGCTTACAGTGGGGAGTACAAAAACAGTTTATTCTTGTACTATTATTTATTAATTATTATATTATTTTCCATACAAACAACTGTAAATGTACTTTTTCCCACTCTTATATATATGTGTATATATGTCTTCTCTGCTAGTCTATATACACTGCTCTGACATTAGGTCTCTATATGTTCCCTATAACTAGCACCAGTCTTACACGAGGTGTGTAAGTCCCACTAAGTCCAATTTCATCATTTTACATACATAGAAATTAAAGTTCAGATCCATCAAGAGAGTTAAAACAGCCTGATCAAAATTCCACACAGCAAAGCAGTGGAATTTTTATTTGTTAGAATTAATTTGTTAGAACTTACCATTTAAAAAAATTTTGAGATGTAAATTTTATTAATATATTCATCATGCCATATTGTTTTATAGCGGATAAGTGAAGAAGTAATGTGAACTTAAATTTCTATTTTCTGTACCATTTCTTACCTATCAATTTAGTAAAACTTATAGGAAAATAAGAATACTCAGCTTTTGTTAGGGTGTTGTGAAACAAAAGACATAAACCACTGGTTGGAGTATTAACTGCTTTAACTACTTTGGAAAACAAGTTGCCAATATATACAAGAAGTTTCAGAATGATTATGCCATTCCACTGAGGAACATCACTCCTGGGAAAGTTACTACATGAAATACATGTTCCCTACAGTTTTACTTGTAATAAAACTTAGAAACATCATAGATAAAGTAGAATGCATAAGTAAATTATAGCATAGCTATTAAAATGTATTTTAAAAATCGGCAAAACTAGTCTTTGATATCAGAATTCAGGAGAATAGTTACTTAGAGTGGCTAGGACAGAAAGGGAGCAAGAGAGGAGCTTCTGGGGTGGTCATGATCTGAATGCTGATCATACAGATGCACTCAGTTTCTGGAAATTAGTCATACTGTATAATTACTGTATGTGCACTTACATGTAAGTATATTATACATAAGTCAAAATTTTAAATATGTTATACAGTTCCTTTAAAAAGGAGAGGGGCTAAAAAATATTAAGTTGATCAGGATAAAAAATTGTAAATACCACATGTCAACTGAGTAAAAAATGCATACAATAAAGTCTAATGGAAATACAATAAAAACAATTCCCGCCATTTTTAAAATGCTTTTATTATGCTTTTTTATTCTATTAAATACATGGGGTCTTTGTCATCTATCTTTTTGAAAGCCATATACTATATGTTCTAGCTTCAAAGGCAAACAAGAAAAATAATTAAGTTATAACTGAACCACTTAGGGTAGTAATGACATAAAAGGTAATTTGAGAACTGTCTGAAACTAGATTGTAGACAGGACTTATTTCACACAAAATATTCATGGGTCTTTCCTAAACCTGGACAAATGACTGGGAAAACCCTACCTAAGGGACTCCCTGAAAATCACACAGCAAATTGGTACAGGCTGGAAACAGACATGGTTTTTTTAGATAAGAACAGAACTATTGCTGATAGTAACAGAATTAAATTTTCTCAAAAGACCCATCAAGACAGACCTCAAACATTCAAAGAAGCAACATGTAAAAGCAAATAACTTTCAAGTGTTGGCTGTTTTCATGTAGGTCCACATTAATACTCCAAGAACTAGCCACATCTAATGTTCAGCCAATTTGGGTTGGAGATAACATACAACATACCACAATAGCATGCAAATTAAATTAAATGTTAGAATAAATAAATCATTAAACATATTGGGAGAAAATCGTCAAGTGATCTAAAACTTTACACACGTACTATCCACGGTTCCGACTTCTGAGAGAGACTGCTCTCTTTCTAAACAGAACTGAGAACAAGCTAGTAACTGAACAATTTCATGTCAATTTAGACCTGTCTTCCTTATTCCACCTCTCACCGTTACCTCCACCTGTATATGGAAAGTCACTCTGAGTGCCACCACCTCTTACAAAAAAAAACAACTCACAGTCACAAGTGGAACCAAGACACCCTTCTGGAATTGTACAAGAAGTGATCTCCGCCCAGAAGAACCTCAGGGTGCTTGGGTGGCCAGGAAAAATGGCGACATGGACCCTAGGCGTTAAAAACACCTTTCATGAAAGTGAGAGGTTCAGGGGAGAATCTAAACCTAAGGATAAAGGCAAAGGAGAGAGGGATCCCGTCGCAGTAGGAAGGTAAAAAAAAAAAAAAGAGAAAGGTGGGAGGTTGGAAAGAACAGAGGCTTAGAGGACAGGAGTAAGGGGGAGACAGGAGCCAGAAGAATAAAGGGATTTTTAAAGGATGACGTGCCCCAAGGCAACAACCGTACTCACTGCCCGGCTTGTCTCACACTCCGGTTTCAAGGGAGCGCCTCCGACCCTCCGCGCTCCCGGCGCCGCTAGTCAGAGCCGGACCCCGCTACTCGAGCTGGGCCCCGCAAACAGCGAATGCCGGGACCAGCGGCAGTAGGGGGGGCGTAGTCGACAACGCCCTCGTTCCAGCCAATCTCACGGCGCTCTCCGTGGCGAGCAGCTGATGACGTCAGGGTTGTGACGAGCCTCCAGCTGATTGCTGGCGTTTCCTGCTTCTACAAGCCCACTTCCTGGTCCCTTGGGCGTACGAATAATTGGGCGCGAATTGTTCCGAGCGCGGCTTCTCAATGGTTGTGGGAGAGTCGTCGGTGAGTAGTGAAAGCGCTTACCCTGCTAGTGGGTCCAGATTGGGGAATGAGTTTTGGGACCAAGACCTTTGTGGCAAACTCCGCGGTTTGCATTTCAAAAGCGTCAGGTGACTTTTCCAAAGGGAGGGAAATCCGAATAGGTCAGTCCTGCGCGCCAACAGATGGATGAGTTTGATTCGCGAGGTAGGAGTGAAGCCAGGCAGGTTCTCCTCTCCTTTCCCTGAATCTTCCTCCCCCTCGTTCCCCGTCCTTCACCTCTGCCGCAGCCAGACCTGGGACGAAGTGCAGCCTAAGAGATTAGCGTCTTTGGCCTTAAGGTTACTTCGGTCGGCGGCGTCGCCCTCCATTGGCGTCACTGGTCAATACGTAAACATTAGTTATTTGTGTTTTGCTACACCTCGTGCTCACCTCTTCTGCTCACACAGAGGTTTAGATGGAGAGACTTGGTTTCCACGAGTTTCTGCTGGTGAGGGAGCGAGACAGCTTAGGGCCCCGTGTCCTACCCGGTAAAGAAGAAATTCTTTACTGCAGTGTGAAGTCTGTCCGCGAACTGCCGTTCCGGTTCTGCTCTGTCCAGCCCTCCCACGCACGGGAAAAGTCTCGCTGGACTTTTCCGGTCCCACCATCAGGCTTTTGCTGTTTTCTTTCGAACACTTCATTCTCCTTCCTTTTGGCTCAGTATTTGGAATGTAATGCAAATATTAAATTTTTCTGTGAATACTATGTATTCACTCACATGCCATTCTGAGATAGCCATTCACGGATATGTATAACATCTGTCACTTTATGTAAGATTGTATGTGATCATTGTTTTTATGTCCGTCTGTGTCCACTACCACTAGGCTATGGTTTCCTGTGGATCTAAAATTTCTATCCTTTTTAGTATGAGCTATGTCCCAGATACTGTTCTAGGTATTTTATGCATTGTGTACAGAACTTTAACTTTACAAAAGCCTTTGGCGTTGGCACTTTTATTAACTCATTTTACCAATGGGGAAAGTGAGCAGATTTTTTTTTTTTTTTTTTTTTGCCAAGACTGTACAGCTCGCTAAATGGCAGAGCCAGGACTTGGAACCTGTGCAATTTATCCTCACGCCTGGCTCACTCTTGGCGTTAATGCCGAAACTGGGGCGGTTTCACTGCCAGGGAAATTTCATAATGTCTGGAGGCAATTTTGGTTGCCACATTGGAGAAGGTGCTGCTTACATCTAGCAAATGAAGGCCAAGGTAGAGAATCATTTTCGTCATATTCTGCTCAAACAGTTGCAGTGTCTGCCAAGATTTAAGACAAGGGGCCATAGACTTCATATGTCAATAATAGGAGTGAAAAGAAATTTGTACCATTTGTAAGCTGCCAAATAACATGAGGACTAAATCGTGGGCCTTGTTTGCTTCCTCACCTGGATACTCTTTTTTAGTCAACAACCTGAACTGCTGTCCATGACAGCCCCTCCAAGAGAGATCCATAAGGGAAACAACCTATGAATTGGTTTGCAAGTAGGTGGAATACAAGGACATGAATGTCACCTTGAGAGAATTAGGCATTTCAGGAATGCAACTTAGCAGACTGGCTGCAGAGTAAGGTACCACATTTTTCAAGAGCAGGTGTATTTGAGCTTCTGCTTTTTGAAACTGATCTTACATGTAGTTCCCAAGTGTGATCTTCCAACTGTTTCTTTCCTGCTGTTGTCAGTCTTACTGGGGATGGGAGGGAGCCTGAAACTTCCTTTTAAAATTTGAAGGAATAGATTTATCCAGAGTACCCCTTTTATTATGTGTCTAAATCTGCATATGTAAACTATATTAATGTAATCAACTCTGAGTTTTTAGAAAAAAGAATGGTGATTGATTTATGTATCTAGCTGTTTATGCCTAAAATATATACATATTATGTATATACATTGTGTGTGTGTGTGTGTGTGTGTGTGTGTGTGTGTCCATGCATACTGTATCTAACTTCTGGCTACTCAACTCCTCAAGGCCTAATGCAAGAAAAAAATACCCTATTCTTCTTTTCCATTTAGCAGAAATGAGTTTGGTGATAAAGGACTATTAGATAGAGAAAAGGATTCATTCTAAATTTTGTCATTGACATCCCCAACACCACTTCTGTGCCTGTTTTTTTAATCTGTGGGTTTGGGAGGAGGCGGTAGACAGAGGACTCAGTATACTTCTGTGCTCTTGTTAAAATGCACAAAACCCAGACAGAGTTGTGTAGCTTAAATTTTTTATGAGTGAATTTACTACATAAATCCGAATAAGATAGATTCATGGTATCATTTTTAAAAGTATCTCCTTCTTTCTTTGGCATAAGTTGAATGATAAATCCATTAGGCTTAAACCAAGGAGACATGAGTCATATCTGTGAGATAATAGATATCAGAATTATCTGTGACCTGAGTAAGACAATTCAACACTTTAGATATTCATTTTCTTGCATGTAAACATGGAGATAATGTAATTATATGGGGAAGTATAAAGTTAGAGATGTAAAAGCATTTTTAAATGATTTTGTTAAAGCCCTACAAATGGAAAATTTCTAGGAATAAAATTGAATTGGATATCCTTACTTTTATAAGAACCAATGTTGTTTTTAAAATATGTTTAAAAGGCTAATTTGGAACATTTCTAGGTAGTCTTTTGAATGGAATACTATGCAAGTTTTCAGGATTTTTCTGTGTCCTTTTTATCTTTACAGATTTTTTTGAAGCACTCTTACAATTGTTCTATTTAGATCAAGATGTCTAGCAAAGCACATACTTCCAAGAAAAGGTCTCAACAGTTAAAAAGAAATCCAAAAAGAAAAACTGATGGTGAGGAAGTGGACTTACCAGAGAAAGAGGTAATGAAAATATCTAGCTTATCATCTAGAACTTTTTTAAAAGATTTTATTAATTTATGTATTTATTTTAAGGAGGGAAGAGGGAGAAAGAGAAGGAAAGAAACATCAGTGTGTGTGTCAGTTGCCCCTCGCATGCCCCCAACCAGGGACCTGGCCTGAAACCCAGGCATGTGCCCCAATTGTGAATCAAATAGGCAGCCTTTCTGTCTGTGGGACAACACCCAACCCACTGAGCCACACCAGTCAGGGCTGATCCAGAACTCTATTAAAAATATCATTCAGGCCCTGGCTGGTGTAGCTCAGTGGATAGAGCGCGGGCCTGCGAGCCACAGAATCACGGTTCGATTCCCAGCCAGGGCACATGCCTGGGTGCCGCGGTCCAGCCGCAGCGGGTCAAGGGGTCCCACAGGTGAGGGTAGGCGTCGGCGCTGGGTAACAGACGACAACACGCCTCAAAGGACAGTGAAGCTCTGTTCCATTTATTGCAAGTATAAGCAGGTTTTTATATTTTCATTTTAGGTAGTGATTAACATTTGCAGTATAACATGATCATTTAAGCAGAAAAAAATCAATACAGAGGTAATCAGTAAAAGTACAAAAGTTCCCATAGATTTAGTTAAAGATTATTTTAACTAGGAGAGCCATTAATCAGACAATTAGAAATATCTTATTGTATATTAAAGTTTCTCAGAATTTGGTATAGGGCATAAGGATACGCTAAATTGAGTAGAGAAAATAGGAGATTTATTATAAGGCCCTTGTGATGTCTAACTTAGCTATCTACCTTTTTTTTTGCTTAAAATGTTTTTTCTGTGTACTATAAATTCTGACTCCCTAGTGACTGTTTAGTTTGTAATAACTAACTAGCTTTTGTTATTTCTTTGCCTGTCTAGTTGATATATATTCTTATTCAAGGTAAAGGAGGGGCTATTCCTATGTTGCAGGGGGCTTTCAAGGGTACTTCTTTTAAGTTTCTCTAGGAGTTCTTTTATAGACATGTTTTGTACTTTGATACCCTCTAAGAAAGCAGTGAGATCATCTCCTGATTTCCTAGAGTATTCTATCTTATCTTGGGTGTTTTTCCAATGATCTGTTATTGATTAAGCTTGAATTCTCAGATTGTTCTGATTGTTTCCTTGTGCCTATATTCCCTGACGTTCTAGTATGATATTATTATTCTGTTCATTGAGCCGGGAAAGGTCCAGGCACACTATCTGAATCACTGCCAGGGTATTCATAATGATTAAAGCAAAAAGGGTCATGATCCCCAAAGCAAGCACAATCACAATAGGTATTGCAAGGCCTTCCATGCCACGTCCACCAGGTTGGAAACTGCTTCCTTGAAGTCTTACACCCCCTCTCAGGACCTTGTCACGGAGAGAGGGATCCAACAGTGGACGCGGCAGTGGACGTGGCACCTGGGTTGCAGGCCAGTTCCCAGCAGGGGGACTCACCAGAGGCAACCATACACTGGTGTTTCTCTCCTTCTCTCCTTCCCTTCCTCTCTAAAGATAAATAAATAAAATCTTTAAAAACAAAATATCATTCATTCTCTACAAAGGAGCATCTGAGAACTAAAGGTCACTTTTACTGCAAGTTATAGTAATTCTTATTTTTATATGGGAGCTGTTACAGCATAATTTGTAAAAGTTCTCAGATAAAAATTATTACTTCAATTCTGAAGGTATTGATCCAAGAATATTTTGAGGAGGAGTGGATGCTGGACATTGCTAAGGTCTTTAAATGAGAAGGCTGAAAATAGAGTATACTAATTCTATGGCATTCATATGTTAAAAAACAAAGGAATTTGGCAGTTGGTGGAGACTTTTATTACAACCAGGAAAAATTAGTTTGATGGGAATTAGCTTTTTCCTACCATAATTTTACCCTCTCTTCTAAAAGCCAGTATTTGTTTTGCAGGTAAAGTATGTAACACTGTTTCACTGGTAAAATGAGTAGTAATTTCTTTAAGAC